CACAAAAATGTTAGAATATCACAGTTAATGTAAGAAGTCAGAAAGATGCTGAAACATTTTGAAGACTAAAAGATTGATTGTGTGTGGGGAGATTGATGAAACAAGCTTTGGAAACATCATCTTTGTCCTGTGGATTCAGCTCCTCTACGCTCAGTGACTCACTGTGCGTCACCTGAGAACAGAATACACAAAGTGTTTTATTTTAGCTGTACTATTGTTTAAAAAATTTATATAACATATTTTTTGGATTATAAGGCGCAATCAGGCCCGGAGTGGGTAAGCGGAACGGACTGGAGATTTCCTGATGGGCTGGTTTGATGTGTGGGCTGCAGGGCCGGTGCTCCCTGTTATTTATTTTTTTTGTTTGTTTTGTTTTTTAGAACTTTTTATTAACAACATATAAACTCAAAACACCCTACAGCTGCTCTTGGGCCCCTCCGCCTCTCCACGCAGGGCCGGCGGCTCTCTTTTTTGTTTGTTTTTTCCCACAAGTCGGATCCACAACCAGTCAATCAATCCAGAGGCGTGTCAGCAAATGACCAATCGGTAATCTCAATTTGTCCCGAAGGTAAACGCCTCCTTACCTGCAGAGCTGTGGGGCTGCAACCTGGACGTCAGAGGGGTTTTGTGAAAAATCATCTGAAAATAATGGTTAAACTGTGTCAGTGGAGAACAGGCAATCCAGACACATGTTACCCTGAGTGTTTAGAGGGTGGATACAGTTTATTATTTTTCAAAAATTAAACGGAGTTTGCAAAACATGCAAAAAGCCGGGGACCGACCCCATCAGCTGATCACAAGTTATAAACAAGAAGTAGCTACCACATGTTCCTCTCTATGAAAGTAACTGCAGGTAAATCCTCCATTTTCTGTCATAATTACATTGTATGCTTAATGGTTAAATTTAAGGTTAATGCTTAATTCAGGTTATGTTTATTTGTCACATGCAGGTTAACACAAGGTTAACAGTACTATAAAATATTCAAGATGAGAAGAACTGATTTGACTCACTAAAACAAATAACAAGCAAACAAGAACTACAAATGCATTCAATAAGGGTACAACATAAAGTACCAACAAGTGAAAAAGTAAATACAATATTTAACAAGAGGCAAAAGAAAAAATAGTAAACAACAACATGGTACAATGTAACAGTGCAAGTAGGATGAATTTGTATGAATAAGTATTTCAAGGTAGTAATATAAGCTTAAATTCACATGATATATACTGCACATAACTAACAAACCACAGGTTGTGTGACAGATTATTGTACAGGTAATGAGGAACATGGAGATGAATTATGATGGTAAGGTAGTGACATACATGATTCCTCAGGCGGCTGAGACGAGCTGGTCTGGGAAGCTCAGTCCTCACCTCCTTCTACAGGTGTGCAGTGGAGAGCATCCTGTGCTCCAGCATCAACGTGTGGCATGGAGGCTGCACAGCTGCAGAAAGAAAAGCTTTGCAGAGAGTGGTGAAGGCTGCACAGAAGACTGTTGGTGTCAGTCTCTCCACTATCACAGACATCTACATCTCCAGATGCAGGAAGAGGACCACCTGCATCATGAAGGACCCCACTCACCCAGCACTCACACTTTTTGCCCCACTCCCCTCAGGAAGGAGGTTAAGGAGCATTAAGTGTAGAACCACTGAGGAATAGCTTCTACCCTGAGGCTGTTAGACCCATGAATCTCTAACCAGAATAATTACTGTGAAAAACCAGATCATGCTGCTGCTGATCTGTTTCATGTTGCTGCTGATCTGTTTCATGTTGCTGCTGATCTGTTTCATGTTGCTGTGTTCATTCGTACTCATCTGCTCACACAGACTCATGTTTGTGCTTCTTTTCGGCGTTTTGTTTTGATTGTTTTTAGGCTACTAGTGCTTAGTGTATTTTTAGTTAACGTTATTCTTAGTTCATATCTTAGATCTTATTACCGTTTTTCTTATACTTTTTACTGTTGGATGTAACTGGGAACCTGGGTACATAATTTCGTTCCACCACATGTGGTGCGAATGACAAATAAAGAAACTCTGACTCTGACTGATACAGCCACATAGTGCAGCAGCAATAAAAATATTAGTTGTCACAGATGTGGCTTGGTACAAAGTTATTGCCAGTTGTTCAGTGTTATTTATTGAGAGTTCAGTTATCTGACAGCTTGTGGATAATAAGTGTATTTGAGTCTTTTTGTATGAGATGGCAGACTCCTGTATTTCCTGCCTGATGGTACTAGATGGAAGAGTCCTTGTGCTGGGTGGGTGTGGTCCTTAATGAAGCTGCATGCTTTACGCAGACATCGGCTGTTGTAGATGTCCTGGATGGTGTGGAGACTGCTACCAGTGATGTCCTCTGCTGTTTGCACCACCCTCTGTAGAGCTTTCTGACTGGTGCAGTTTCCATCCATACCACCCTGTGATGCAGTCTGTCAGCAGGCTGTCAGTGGTACACCTATAAAAGTTGGGTAAGGTTACTGTAGACCTAGACCATTACTGGAGTTATAATTAGGTATTTTAAGCTACTAATAAACACAATGCATATTACTTTATGCTAGGCCATTGGTCAAAAGGAGTGATTATTATTTTCATTTCATATTGCCTAGTGATTTTTTTTCCTAAAAGTTAACTTAGGCTACACTGTGTTTTTTAGACTGTGACTAGGATGTGTGAGAGAAGCGGAGCATGCTTTATTCACACAAGGAGAGCTGTTGGTCAGGCTACTTCTTGTTGTGCCTTTTATTCTATAATATAAATACCTTGGGGTTCACCTGGACAACAGACTGGACTGGAAATGCAACAGTGAGGCGTCTACAAGAAGGGACAGAGCAGACTGTACTTCTTGAGGAAGCTGAAGTCCTTCAATGTTTGCAGCAAGATGCTGCATATCTTCTATAAGACTGTTGTAGAGAGTGCTATCTCTTCTGCCATCATCTGCTGGGGGAGCAGCACCAGAGCAAGTGACTTCAAAAAGATCAACAAGCTCATAAAGAAGGTTGGCTCAGTTCTGGGAACTCCTCTAGAACCTTTGGAGATGATTGTTCAAAGAAGGATTCTTCATAAAATGAAGAACATTATAGACAACCCTCAGCATCCTCTTCATCAGACTGTCATACAACAACAGACTGTCATACAACAACAGACTGTCAT